ATTTATGTACATTTTCTAACCGATTTTCCAAAAACATGCCCGCTATTTTGGTGCAAAGTCTTTAACACGGTTTTCATAAATTCAGACATATATATACAGTATATAGTTTATGAAAATGTTGATAACAAAGTAGAATGCAGTTTAATATTTATGATACCTTTGTTCTAATATGTAGGTGGTTCAAGAGGTGGGGTGTCAAGATTGACAGTGAAAGAGCTCAATGAAAACGAAAGGCTGAACAAATTGGCGAAAACCTCGACTGTGACATGCTACCTCTTGAACACATAGAGGAAAAGGACAACAAGCAGGTGACCACTATCAAGGAGACCCCCTGTGCCTATATGGCTGACCTTAACAAAAAGATAACAAGCTTTATTGACAGCAATACAAAGTAAAAATCTTACTTGTTTAAATAAACATTTTGAATATAACAATACTATTAAAGTTTAGCTAGAAGATTACTATTTTGCTTATATTATCATGTTTCTAGGGCTGAGCTTCTAACCTGCCATGATGGTAACATCCCTGACAACGAGGTCTATGTTAAAATTGGCGGCGATCATGGGCAGGGATCAATAAAGTATGGTTTCCAACTAGCCAATGTCGAGAAACTAGTACTAAACAAGTGGCAGTAAGAAGATACAATCAATTTCCTTTGTCATTAACTGTTAATTTTGCTGGTGTTATTTTTAATCTCATTTGATATCAACAATCTATATTCAACGGAAACAAAACTATTCGCCTGTTTTTGTTTGGGGATTATGAATTTCTTTGCAAAGTAGTTGGAATATCAGGGGCAAGTGGTGAGTTTCTCCTATCATTGACACAGTTCTCTATACACATAAGGTATAAGGAAATTTAGTTAACAACTTTATTACTTCTTTCCCTCGTTAAGTCGATATCCATGTCTTTGGTGTACTGTCCTGGCCACCAAAAGGAAACTGCCAAAGGATCAGAGAGGATCAGTTGCTCTTCACACACTTCAACATCTGAGTGAAATGTTGCAGAAGTTTCAGGCAGCTGGAGCTGATCTGAAAAGGGCCAAAGACTTCTACAATGTCATCCATGCTCCTCACTTCAACATCCCCATAGAGCAAGTAAAGATGACATACTGATGATTATACACTTATAAATTTTCCTTGGCATAGATGCTTACCATTCATTACATGCATTAGCTTTGTTTGTTTAACAAAGGTAACACACAACAGTATTACGACTGACGAACCCAAGGTCCTCAAATTCCCGACTGAATTGGAATTTAGAAATGTTGATTTTTGAGGTGGTTTTGGTTCACGCATCTCCAGATCTTCACAGATTTTGCGACTATTGAATACTGGTTGAAGAGTGTGACAGATTTTCTTGCTCAGGTCAGATAGTTGTCTTCTCACTGCATCAGCCGACGTTTGATCTTTAAATGTAAAATTAACCGTTGATCAAGCTATTTAAAATTGTCCTACATAAGTGTAAATCACAACACAAAATTCAACTGAAAGGAGTTTATTCAACTTAAAGTGATATATTGTATGTTTTTGATTGAATAAATACATTTCATTGCCTCCACGGCAAAAAAGGCTTCCCAAATTTCACTTAAAAGAACTTGCCTATCTCCTTCGCTTGGGGAAGGAATTTAAAGATGGTGTCAAAACATGCAGAAAACCCCAAACTTTGCCACTTAACCACGCGGTAAAAAGAATTACTCATAAAAAACTCACCACGCAGTTAAGTTCTTCCAGTACCACTCTTTGTAAAATTTTGTGCCATCTGTTGCCGAAAACTCAGAGCAGTTCACATTTTCAAATCTTTTAAGACGACCAGAATACTGCTTGAAGGACGGAAAAATTACAGGTGAGGTTTTCCAGGCGATAAATTGGAGAATTCCATCGATTTTCATCAAGTTTTTTGCATTGCACAGCTCCTTCAGACCTTTCTGCCATGTTTATTACTGTCAAGGGTGGCAAAGGCTCATTTGTTCTTTATTTTCATTGGTTCTAAAACAATAGCCTTTCTTCCCTTCAAACTGTAAACAATGGCGGGGCCATTTGTTGCTATGGGAGATGAGCCTGTTGGTGGTTGCCACTGTAGAAGCAAATTGCGGCCGCAAAAAAACTAAATTTCCCCTGACGTGAACGTTGTTGAACAAAAATAGAGCTTGGCTCTATTCAGTTCAACAAGTTGCTACTTGTTGAACAGCTTCAACCAATCGTTTTTGAGTTTGTTGTAACATGGCTTTGTGGAAATATCAACATGGCGGCCAAAGAGTTGGAATCAGCTCAGGTTGAAAGGAGTTTTGATAACACCAGTCAACTGATCAATCTGTATGAGACTTTTCAGTGCCTACATGATATGAGATTGAAGGAAGTGACATCCATACACAGGAAATTGTTGTAGCTTGAAATGTTCACGTTTTTGAGTTCTGCCAACAGGGTGTAGTATTAACCATTCACACATCAAAATTTTGCAGTTTTTCCGTCTATTTTGTTGACGCCTTATAATAATGGCGACGACGCTTGAAGCACAAAGCAATAGCAACATTTCCTCATCCATTTCAACTTCCTCCCAAAATGTGTAGTTGTTGCTCAAAAAAAAGTTGAATGAGCATTCAACAAGTTGCAACATCTCAACAAGTCGCAACAATGTTTAACATTTGTTCATCAACAAAAGTTGAACAATGTTGAACCGTGTATCATTCACTTAACATCTCATGTGCGACAAAATTCACATGAGGGACAACATTGACAGCAAGTTAACAGGAGCTTGGGATTCATGAATCTGTTGCTGAAGAATATCTAGCCAATATCGTCAAACGTAGGTGATACCTGCCAACCTGGGCTTGTTGATGCCTCAAATCCTGCTGATTTTGATGTAATATATCAAAAACTTGTGCTTTGTGTTTCATCAGGGGTTCCAAACACCGAGAAACAGATGCGGCCTCATGCTTTTATTGTTTTGAGGTGTTTGGAACCCCTGCTGAAACATGAAGCACGAGTTTTTGATATGACTTCTCAAATGAACCAATAGTGTCACACATTTGGCATTTTCCTTTTAAAATGCTGTCATATGCATACTTTATTGTATTTCGTCATTCGGTGTTAGAACATGTGCGAAGCCGAAGCGTTTTGATTTAGGGAGCCCAAAACAGTTGTGGAAGAAGAAGATCTAGTCGACAAAGCTATTCCTACCTCCACGAAGTATAAGAACAAATGGGCTGTAACCATTTTTAATGAATGGCAAACTGAGGGAAAGGTTCATGTGCCTGTATCGGATTCAGGAGGCATGTTTAAAGATTATGATCTGCACAAGGTTGGAATACTGTCAACTTGAATCGAAGATATGGTTGCATTGTCATAGAATTATTGGCTGAACAAATTTGTCATAGAAGTAGTGAAAAAGAGTGGAGAATGGTATCCTCCAAAGACTGTTTTGGAAATTAAATTTATTACGAGCTTCCACAGGTAAGTGCTTACTGCACACCATGTATTTTTATAATGGCAAACTTTTTGGTTTGAGAAGTGGTGAACATAGAAGCCTTGCAGTCAATAATTTTGAAATAGGAGCAAACTTTGTTAAGTTCCAGGAAAATTATTGTAAAACATACCATGCAGGCTTTACAGATCTTAAGTACATCCTGAGAGTTGTTAAACATGTTTGCCATCCCGTGGTAGGGTCAGCTGTCCATGATTGTTGCCTTGGGGAAATTTATCGGTTATACATTGGGCTTGTAGAAACTAATGCTAAGAATTTAAATGCATTCTACTTTAGACCATCTAGGTCTAAACTTAGATTTGATAAGGTTCCTGTGGGAGTTAATATTCTTAACGAGATTTTGCCTCAAATGTGCAAGGCTGCAGGGATAAAGAGAAAAACCAGTCACTGTCTCCGTGTTACCTGCACGTTTTTGCTCTTTAATGCCCACATAGTGGAGAAGTTAATACGCAATATGTCTTTTTTAAGTACGAGAAGCCCAGCAAAGAGAAAGTTAAGGAAGTATCTACAGTTTTAGGGCCAAACACTGCTGAGGTCCAAGCTTGTAATGAAAAAGAGAAATATTTGAAAAATGCTGTACCTAATGAGGATGCAAGTGCAGGGCCATCAAACAGCTGTTCTTTTAGTAAGTGCTCTGTTAAGATTAAGGTCAATTATTTTAAGTACATACAAATAGCTATTTAAAAATTGTAATTGAAATGTAAGAAAACTAATTTACTATTTGAAGATTGTACTGAAATGTAATGTATTGTTGAAAAAGTCATTAAAATGCAAGTGTTTGATCTGAGATCAAACATGGTTTTGAACTAAGACCAAAACTCTTAAGATCTTGATCTGGTGTTTCATTGGGTATCAAGATCCATCCACCTGATGTGAGTGGGTGATACTGATTGGCTGGCCACTTGAATTATTTATGATTTTGAGAAGCCAAGATGAAAGTGCTGAGTGAAGAATGAAAAACAGGGACACTCACAAGGGGGACATTTCCTGACATACTTCAGTAAGTACAAAGCAAAACAAATTAAAACTAGTAGTAATCATAGATTAAGAAGTGCATTTGAGTATTGGTAGGTAAAGCAAAAATTCTCGGAACAGCATTTTGTGCCTGAGCTGTTAGGGTAGACATGAAATTGGCCTCTTTCCAGTAGGGGCAAAAACAACTGAACTGATCGCAAGGCACATACATATGGGAGGTTTGTTCTTATTTGCACATGTATTACATAATATTAGTTACGAATGGCCAGTGTAAATCATGGACTGTAGTCAGTAGGCCGCATTTAGTCCCAAGTCTGCCTTTTATACACGAGTCCAAGTTTTATACCCAGTCCGTAATGCTTAGTCTGCATTTTATACCTCAGTCCGAGTTTTATACCCAGTCTGTAGTCTGCAGTCTGCAGTCCATGTTTTTTTTCTGACCTGAAACCTACCATTCTAGACCATGTAAATTGACACAAATGATGCCTGTTACATTGGTATGCAAGATGACATGCTTTTATTACCAAAATAAAGACAATTCTTCTGTTTACGAACACGTCTTGAATTGCCTTGGCCTTGGAGAAACAGCTAATGAGCATCCGGGTAAATTAAGACATGGACCTAGACTGAAAAATGCATTTTTTTAAAACATAAATTAGTGTTGTTCAAAGAGGTTTAAATAAAATCAAATGAAATTTGGTCCACTTAACAAAATTAAAATTGCGACTTCCCTGGTAAAATATCATGCGATTTAGTCACCTGATTGACATTTAAGGAAAGCCGAAGAGAGCTGAAAAATAGACCATTTTAAACAAGAAATGGCAACACTTTAACTGTAATCCTTGAAAAATGCAGTGGTACTTTTGAAATGTTGGATACTTAAACTTTTAAACTGTACTTGGCCTTAGATGAAATAGTGTTTTGTGTAGAAGTAGTTTCCAGGCAATATAAAAACAAACAATAAAACCATTGTTTCTTGTGAATTTAAATGACAAATAAAATAATTTTCTGAAAAGGCTGAGCACAGAGAGATGGAGGACATTGTGATACACAAGTATTTGGAGGTGAAAATAGGATATCAAAGTTTTAAAGTGTTGCCATTTATCAAAATACCTTCCCCTTGAGACTGTTGTCTGCAATCTTGAATTTGCCATATTGGCCGAGCAGTTCACTGAAAAGATAACCTGGGAATGACAATTTTTGTTGTCTTAGACAAAATGGCTGATAGGATCAAAGATTTGATATCAGGCCTGGCTCCGAGATTCAAAATGGCGGAAGAAGCATTGATGTGGTCGTGGTTTGAGTAATTTTTCCAAACTTTTTACCTGCTTTAATATGAAATATTTAACTACAGATTCTGAAAAATCAAAAGTTATACTTCCACTAATAGTAAGGTAGTCTAAATAATGTATATTTTCATGTTTCTAGGTGAAAAGGTGAGAATAAAGGGCCTAATTGTAACGAAATGCTTGTTGTAGATTGATGTTGTGGTTCGTGAGAAAAAATTGTACTTCTTGCTTACAGCTTATTATGAGCCTTCGTTGACATTTACAGTTGACATGCGTGAGATTTTGGTGTAAAATTACATCAAGCTAATCAGTGAGCAACGATCCGTCTCTGATGTATGTACATGTTATGCTCTTTGTTCAAAGATTGCAATTATATATCTAAAGGCTTTCTATAACAAAGTTTAAAACAGGGGTGACTTGGTCTAAAGGTAATTTTTGACAAAAAAAGCCATGTTCTTTGTATAATTCTGTGAGCAGAAACTGTTAGATTTGGCACCATAAATGACCTCTTTCTTTGGATGTGGATCTGCTCAAGTTGCAGTCAAACACAGCTTTATAAAACCAACTGGCAAAGTTGAGTATGGCCATGACAACCACTTGAGAAACTACCTGGCAGTATTTCAAGGACACCAAGAGCGATATCAGGTAGACAAACATTCTTACATCAAATGCTCCAACAGCCTTGTACACCACTTTGGAAAATGGAAGCGAAAAACTAACAAGGATAAATACACAGAACATTTCAGCCCCAACAACTGGGAAAGCTGACCGAATATGAAAAGAAGCAACACACTCATACAAATTGTGAGGCTTGTCATGTTCATTACTTTCCTTTTCAATCTTTATTTCCCATGTGGAATCATAAAGAAAACTATTACACAACAAGGTATTCACAAGAACATTAAGAGCAGCATTCTTAAACCATCGTGCCATGGAAATATGAAGGTCACAAAAGAGGCTATAAAAACAGCTTCTTCACAGATTATGAAAAAATAAATACACCATTTAAAAATATATTTGGGGTAACATTTGCGAAGGCACAAACCACTGTTCCTGAGTTGGGTCTTGAAGACAAAAAATCACATGCTGAAAGGAAAAAGGAAAGAAGAAAAAATCCACAGTTGACAAGAGTTGCATCCAGGAGAAATGGTCAGAAAAGGACTCTGACACCATGCTTTCCACCAGACAGACCTACAGCCAGTGACAGGAGCAGCAGTTGTCACTTTTCTTTGAAAGTCCAGAAGATGCAGAACAAAGGGCCAATTAAAAGGATGTGACAGGAAGAAGAAGGTCAATGTAAGAAGAAAAGGCACTCTCTACGGCCAGAGGATCTTGACTTTGACAAAGACAGGCTCCTCAAAAAAGTTGATGCAATGAGGGATGGAGACAGGGTTAGTAAAAGGTACATTATATAACGAGACAAAGTAAAAAGGGCAAAAAGGTAAAGCCACCCTCCTGCCTGTACATGTATTACAAAATAGTAATAAACTACAATAAAAATAGGATATTTAATCCTTATAATTATAATAAACTTACTAGGGCAGTACTACTAACAAAGGGATCCAGGTGAAACTGATGATAACTGATGATAAAGTGCTAATAACTGCCATTACCCTGAAGCAAGAATCAATTACACACAAATCTCAAAATAACAGACCAGAGAGAAATTTAATTAGCAAAAAAAAGTTGAAAGGTGTATGCTTCTTTTGCAGATCAATTGCTAAGAACTTGTCCATCAATATGGTGTGAGGGAAACGACAAAAATCGGAAATATGGTTCTCAAGTGGTTCCTGGAAAGTAAAGAAGTACAGTTATCTAGATTCCAGAAATTCAGACAAGAAAAACCAGCAATCAGATGAAAAATAATCCGAATGCAGGGTGGAGTGATGTCAGTACCAGTTCCAAGAGCAAACAAAGAAATAAGGGAGACTTTAATGGTTATTACAGTGCAGTAAACTAAATATAAATGAATTTAAAAAGAACGTTTCTTTACTTTTTTAGCCAGGATCCATAAATCTGTATGTGCTGAATAGTAGACGATGCATGCAATGTATTTTCATTTTTCGGGTCAATTTACAAAGTTTGCCAGGTATTGCATTACAATGTTACATGAGTACACAAAATACTTCAACATGCGAAACTCTGGATTCATTAATTTATGTTGCATTTCATTTGTTTGAGCAAACTTGAAAGTGGAGAGTTCCTTCTCGGCACAAAGGTGTTGCTGACAAAGGAAGGTACCCTCAAGACTGAAAGATTTACTGTATCTGGCTGTAAGATTCTTCTTCTAGAAATAAGGACATGCATGGTAAAAGAACAGGAACGGTGAAATCGAGTCTAAAGAGAGATTGAAAGCAGTGGAAAGAAAGCGGCACCTTGTGGTTTGGGGTTACAACTCAACCTTTCTCAACCATGGTCACCTTCTACTGCCAGTTAATTCAGTATATGATGAGGCCCTATATTACACCAATGAAAAAATGAAAGCACAAGGCAAAGGAGACATTGATGTACAGTCTGTAGTTGAAAGACCATAAGTCTATATTCTGGGGAGATGTGGTTCCTCTAAAGTAGATCAGCTAGAGTTGAGATTACTGATGTAATGCGCTTTTTTTCATGGAGATGGCCCTGAGCAACGGTTTGAGGCTGGAAAACAGAAAGGGGATATGCTGGATGTGCAAGTTGTAGTGATGATGCAAGAAAGTATAAAGACCTTGCAGTGTCTCTTTCCAAACCTCACCTTACTCTCTGAGAACAGTTAAAGAAAGTTCTACAGGGGCCTGCTGGAAAAATAAAAGGAATGCTGGTTTGAAGCCATTTAAAGATATTTTCTTAGAAGAGTTGAGAGGTGAATGCAGAGCCCGAGGCCTCAAAACTGATGGACAAAAGAAGGACCTTAAGGAATTAAATTTTCTCAAAGAAGAGATTGGTGGAATTCAACGGGTGCCAGCAATGATGTTCTTTAACCAAGAGAAAACACTAGCAGACCTTGGTTTAAGTAGGCATTGCATACTGTCTATTACCAATATTGTAAATATCAAGAGATAGGTCCAAAAAAATTATGTACACAGTACAGTATGATTGTTTCCTTGGCCTATGTTCTGGGTAGGAGGATATATGTGTTGGGAGGTTTACAGCAATGATACATGTACTAGTCAATGTACAGTGTACATGTAACATAGAACATGTATTTACAAATGTATAAATGTTTACAAATGCATGGTACCTGTTACAAGTTCAGGTATATACAATATAATTTTACATAAAAATAATGACAAGTGGGCTATTCATAAACATAAAAATCTTGAAAATCTTATTTCAAACAGGAAACTATGGAGGTCTTACCTACAGAGTCTCTTCACGCTGTTAAGGAACACATTGCCAACGTTCTCACTGAGTTGCCTTCACACCTTGAAAAAGATGAAAAATTTGCATTTCAGGACATCACTGAGTGTTCATTTGCTAGAAAGGAAAAGCTACGTGGCTGTGATTATCGACTTGCAGCTGTCATAGTGGCTTGCAATTTAAGAGGTAAAGATCAAAACATTTCACAGATGAGCAGACCTCACAATAATGATAAACAATTTTTGAGTTATTTTTTCTTATTTGGCGATGGCCATCTTTTTTAATATTTAGCAGCATATGGTGAAGATAAAGAGGCTTTTTACATAGTGTTGTTTAAGGATATTTGAGAATTTCATTTGTATGCTTGTGTCTAGCACTTTCACCGCAATAAAACAAAATAATACAAATAACAGTTGAGGACCAATATGAAACAATGGAAATAGAATTATTTTGTTGCGATAACTCTTACAGTAGTGAGTGCTAGTCAGACAATTGACTACAACGTACATGTACACGTAGTCAGGACATTATTGTCTGACTAGCCATAAAATAATAACTTACAGCACAGGTTTTGCTCCAAGATAGAGTCATGTAACTGTTTTAGTTTAACTTGAAGTTCAGGTCAAAATTATTTGAAACTAGTTTGATTTGTATTTTCCTTTGTTCCAGACTTACTACCATACTCTTTAAACAAAGGAAAAACAAATCAAACTAGTTTGAAATCAGTTTGGCCTGAGATTCATTTTAACCATGTGCAACAGAACTCTTAAGAACAGACTTGAACTAGGCTACATGTAGCTATTGACAGCACTATTGACTGACACATTATTATAATTGTGTTTTATCTCATTTCAATAGGCAAAGTAAGACCTAAAATACAGACACTGCTGGATTACCTCACAGAGCTCAGTAAACTACTCAACTTGCCAGTCCAATCAAGCTCTCCAAAGTTAGTGCTACGTCTTCACAACCAAGCATTCATCCATGCCATGATATGCAAAGACACCATTGGGCCACCAAAGTCCCGAACAAGCAGAAAGTTCTAAGAGAAGGTAATCAGGTCTCAATGTATTACTTATTCCTCGTTGCACTCTATTTGAGCTGGGAAGTCCACTAGATCTTGCTTTTTGCTTCCCATCAGTGTGCCTATCAGGGTTGGGCAGCTGGGTAGACCGTAGATTTTTCCTGATCTCATTGTGAAGAAAGACTTTCTGTCATTATTAATCCTTTACATATTTACTGGGCTTAGGTCCTAATTGTTCTTGAAAATGTTTCCTTTGGTAGTCTAAAAAGGTGTTTAATGCTCTAGCCGAATTACTAGCACTCAGACTACCATCCCTTGGGTGATGACTTTTTGTTGTCTTGTCCTTGTCATTTTCCTTTTTCTTGTACATATGTTTCTCCAAGGGATGGCCACCAAATAGTCTTTTATATTTCTTTATCCTTGATTTGGTCCTGTGGTTTTGTTTTCTTAGTTCCCCTTTACTTTATTTTCTCAGGCTCCTGATCCTATTACAGCCCTTACTCTGCAAATAGAGTCTCTTGAACAAGCCAACTCTCAAACCATTCCTAGTATCAGAAGCCTCCTTACCAAGATAATCAATTATTATGGCTTTTGATGTTTGGAAGATTTTGACAAATATGAAGCCTTGGCTTTGGCTGAGCAGCTTGCAACTACCTGGAATCTTTATATTGTCTGCTTCGACTCTGGATGTACAATGCCATCAGTTCTACTCTGAAAAAAAAGTTGTATTCTAGTACTAACCAGTTTAAGGCATACTATGTTGCCCTTTGGGCAGATAAGGAGTATTCAAAGAATCTCAAAAGTTTGATAAGTCCTTCAAGAAACAGGATCCATAGGTGGCCCCCATGCCAAGGCTCTTCCCCTGGCTCCTCACGTCCTCACTGGCTCCTCACATCCTTGTGCTCTAATTTGTTATGCATGGGGTATGCCAGGGCACATTGCTTGCAGGTACAACAAAAGGTCAACCCACCCATACAGTATTACCAAGCCTGCCCCTTTCACAGAATGAAGTCACAATCACATATGGACTTTAATCATTCAGTCAAGCAGTCAGTTGGTTTCTAATTATAACCTTGCACATGCAGACTTCCACAAGTTTTAAATTTTAAGGTTACTTCCAACCTTTGCAGATGCCCTTCGGGAAAAAAATCGTACGTACGCCAGTTACAATAAAACCTCAACAAACTATATATCATAACAAAGCTTGATAAATGTACTTTACGAAAAAATTACAATTTCAGCAATGTTTTTTCTTAGGAAGTGTCAGGAGGCAGTAAGGCATGAAACAAACGAGGGTTCTTTTGAATTTATCGGGTATTGGATTCCGCAGTACGAGCAAAATGGCTGCACAGTCTTATTCACAAGGCATCAATCAACAAGTGTGTCCAGCTTTTTCTATATTCTGATTGGTTGTCTAGATATCCACATCTAAAGTTGGAGTAGCTAAAAATATGTGAGACATGTTGCATAAATAGATGCCAGGGGAAAAATTTGTTAAATATCAAAATTTTCCGGCACACTTTGGTTTGTCATTATCTCTGAAATGTTCTGGTGATCCTTCAAATCTGCATGCCCTATAAATTCGCTCAAAGTGGATGTATTACTCCAAAAATGAAATGCGAGATGTTAGCTTGTAAGGGTTCGTAAACAACTCTCACCACGCCCAGAGATTATTATGCCTAATAAAACCGCCAACCAAAGGAACAACAGGACCTCCTAGTGTCTATGACAATAGATCAAGATTTCCCGGGAAAAGCATCACATTGCAACATGTTTGTTATCTCGCTCAGTGGAGCTAAATTCAGGACGACATAATATAATGGGCAAAGATGCCAAAGGCAAAGGCAAAACCCGCAACAAAAACGTTAAAGGCATAAAAATGTGCTGCTGAAAAACGAGATGTTAAGGAATCGAAGGACAGCTTAAGAAATATCCATATTTGAACGCTCTGGATCTTCAGCAGATGCTGAGATTGTGAAGGCGTTTGGCCAAACCAAGAGCCTTTGTCACTTTCGGCAAGGTTTTTTTTCTTACTTTGACAAAATGGAGCTTTTTCTTTCTTCTTTGGCCCGCTTTTTTTCATTTTCTTTACCCAAGGACTTTTTTCTGCTTTTGATTTTTCCATAGGAGTTAGTGTAAAGAGCTTCCACGTGGGAATTTTTGTCAAGTGTATAGATAAAAATATACAAATGACATGAAATATGAGCGATGAGTGTTTGCTGCAGAAATTTTCCCAGGGTTCTCGCCCGTTGACAAGATTATGACACCTTCTTAGTTTACTAACTATATTTTAGAATACTTTGTTTTTCTAAATAACGGCCACTTTTTGAGATTTTTAATGTTTTTCTTTTGGAAACACTCGATAAAATGATGAACTTAAATTT